TGCAACCAATCTACTGAGAATTTAATAAGTTTTCTAATAGAATGTAAATAACAACCAAATAAGTGTCCTAAAATGTGCTTTACTAAGTACGCCTCAACTTAACTGAAACCTTATATTATTAACTAAAAAGATGCTGATTGGTCGTTCCTGTTGTCACGATCGTACAAAAAATCGAAGTTTCACGAACGGTAAAAGATAAATTTTTTAAAATATTTAGTTAGACCAAAGAAATAAATTCTAAGACAAAAAAAACGTACGATAACCATTAGTAACCTATTAGCAAAACTATCGGAGCTTCTTTTTTTAGAAAAGGTAGTCAACGTGTTATCCAAGTACTTTCAAAAAGAATCTTGGAATGTTGGAAAAGTTTTTATGCATTTGCAAATTGGAAAGAAAAAAGAATGCTTCCCCAACCATGTTTACAAACAGGCACCAGATAATATAATTCACTTTCGGTGTCGTTTACCTATCTAAATTTACTAAAATTAATTAAGAAGAGGGAGAGATCTTATTGCCTTTTTCTTTCTTAAGTGCGAAATTCCGAATACATTTATCCGCATACTGTCTGCCTGCTAAAGTTCTTAGACTAAACTGAAATATTTTGAGATGCTGCTCCATAACGCAATGGATAATACAAGGGTCAATAATTGTGAGCATTAAATAAAAAAAAAAAAAACGGGTTTTTTGGTGCGATATTCGACTTGACTCATCAAGATAGTCTCCTTCAGTGAGCCACACTTGCCAATTTCTTGCGCCAATGGATTCATAAGCGTCAAAGTACAAAAAAAAGCTATTTATCGTATTTCCTTGTCCAAAGTAATTCATTAACAGAATATCACGCTTATTCCAGAACTCTTGCTATTTACAATATTCTTTTGTAAAGCTTTTTGTAAGACTTTTCTATTTACAGCATTGTAAATTCGATTTAGGGGACTTGTAATGGACCCATTTTATGGTCAAAAAGACATTTATATAGCGGTTAAATAACGCTAAAAAGTGCTTTACATACGTAGTGCATGGACGTTTTTGACTCACATTGAGTAAACCTGGTAGCCCTAATTAAAACAGAGTGATTGATGACAGTCACAAGCAGATGACAGTTCACATTTTTAGGTTGGAATAAAGGAAAATTTGTCGCCTTCAATAATTTTCTAGAATTTTTTGAGTGCACACACATATAACCCACGATTCTTGGCTCTTTTACGACTTTGCTTGAATTTAGCAAACCGGTGCGAAATTGTTGTTTTCGATGGAAAGCAGTTACCATAACAGTTCTCAATTTTTTTTCCAATCAACAAGCAACGACTAAATAGTCGGGGAAAGAAGTTTGTATTTTCCCACCGTCTTGAAAACAAGAACCTTAGTGTCACTAAATTTTAGTATAACTCACAAGTAATGATCAAAATTGTCTAGAATATCGATAGGCGTCCTTTCAGTGTTAGCACTTTGTAAAAATAGTCTGGTTATCGAGCAGCAACGACGTCTAAGCACTACTTCTGAGAAATATTGACGCACCAAATAAGATTTTTATGTGACTTCGTCGTTATTCACAAATTAAAGTAAGTAATTTTCCGCCTTTTGTTTGTAAAGCGATTGTCGCTGCTATTGTTATTATTTTTGTTCTTAAAATGCCTTAAACTTAAAGTTATTCATTTTAATGCCAGGTTATGGAGCTAGGTGTGAAAGGAAAAAGTAAAATTCGTCCATTTTGCTACTCTTGCCTTAACCTGAAGTATTCCTTTTCACGTAGTCTGAATCTGGATGCTTCCAACATAATGCTGATGAGCATACGCAGAATAAAAGGAAATTTTACGAAATTTTTAATATATAAATTATAACAAGATTGCAACACACAAAATTTATTTAAAGTGATATTTTTATGTGTTTGGCCCTGTTTCCTATCAACATGTGGTTATTTCTACAACGAAATATTTTGTATACGTATAGGTACGCGTATTTTGGAATATAATAATTTTGCGTTTGTGCAAAAAAAATGTGTTTAATTTTTGTTCTTTTATTTGGAAAATATTTCTTATAAACAATAAACACACAGAGAGGTTATTTAGTTAGTTAGTCAATCTGTCATGTTTTCTGTTTATATTAATTTTTATTTAAAAGAAAACTAGAGAATAATGAGAAATTTGCTTACATACATATACATAGTATGCACATACAAACACGTAATCACTTAAATGCCTGAAAAGTGAAATGGCAATTAATCTGAAGGCTGCTCGATTTTTTCCCCTTTTACATGCATTTAAATACATACGTAAGAGATTTGCAAAATTTCCGGAATATTTTTCTATTCTATTATAAACAATTTGTTTAGTGTTTTATTGAATGGCGAAAGCGTTTGTGGCGGTTTTATTTTAAGATTGTGTTTGTGAAAAAAGTATTGAGACTTTTTTGACTTTTATAATTGCTATCATGGTATGTGGAAATTAGTCGTTCTAATGGTAACATTTGGAAGTAATTTTTATATTTATGATGAGCATTACGTTCATTTTAAGAGTGTCTAGACCTTTGGGACATAATCTGTTAGATTCTGAACATTCGTAATTAATTTCGTCTTTTCAGATATTTTTACAAAAGCTTCAAGTCTCTCTTTTACGGAAAGCATACGTAAACGCTTTCATGGATAAATTTAGAAACTTTTTTAATTGACGTAAAACGGAAAAACTAAGAAAGAGAGAGAGAGGGTATTAATTCATTTTCAGGTGAATTTTCTCAACTTATATTAGTTATTGTTTAACTTTATTTTTATGTCTGGATCATAAGTTAGAGCCTTCATGTTCTTTCCAAATCTATTAGATTATTATATTTCCGAAAGGATTATTTGTAAGCATTTTCTAACTCATTCCTAAGAAAAATTCCAACTCATTACTAAGAAAGAATCGCAGTATTTGTCTTCCTTTTTCTGATGATTTTTAGAATTTTGAAAAAGCAAACTTCGAACGTTGCACTTAGTCTATCTGTGAGATCATTTAAATATATTTCTGAGTTTTATTTACGGAATAATGACGTTAACATTAGGTATAAAAACTAAGAACTCTCTATATCTGCTCAGGGAGGAATTTGAGCTGATTTGTTGGATCACCACACTTTTATGTGTTGAGCCTTATATGGAAAACTAGATCTCCGTGGTCTAAACTTAGTCAAATCACCGTTCTATCATAAAATATTACAAGTTAGATACTGTTCCCGTGTGAAAGTTTTTTATTTGTAAGACCTTGGTTATGCGATAAAAGACTTATAAATGGTTTTCTTACGAACAGAAATATCCAGAACTATTTAACTAAGAATAACTCTGAAAACTGTCTAGATTAAAGGAGAACCAATTGACCAAAAAAGTTATTCAGTCGAGTTTTGCTTAGCGAAAACTCTTGCTTACTTTTATTTGTAAAAAAAATAATATACAATTTACAATGCTAAGTTATGTATGGATAGTAAATTAGCAGGCGTATTTTGACATTGTGATCGATCATTAGTCACAAGAAAAAACAAAGAGTTTTCCTGTTTTCTTGCTTGCTTGTTTTTTGAATTTATATCAAATTCTGTGTTCCGGACAAGCACCCACGGCGGAACTTCTAATGGCTTTTTAAACAATGTGTCAAATCTTCGATTTTTGTCTCTCTTGATATTTCTGGCAGAATCATGTGTTTTTTGCAACCCATTCAAATGTCAGCATTTTTCCTCAATTTTGTTGACTTTTAGAATTTCATAAAAATAGAGACTTCGAAAATCGATCGATTTTTGAGATAAGAAATCTTTATTTTACGAAATACTATTTTTCGGCCGTAAATATTGGAAATATTTTTTCATAGACCAATTTACTTGAAACAGACAGACGGGCAGATATGTGTAAGTGTGAGTGATATCAATAAAAGGTGGGCCTATCGAAAATTATTTTTTTATGGTACATCCGTACATATTTTATAAAAAGGAAACATTTTGAAAATATTGGCTATTTTACGATCTATTAACTGAAGAATTTAAAAGCTTTACCAAAGATATCTTTTTTCAAATTTTTGAAAGTTAAACATAATTAATTTCGAAGACAGCCCTATTTGCTATTAGGTCGATAAGTATTTATCATCGATAGTGCTGTTCCGTTTAAAACCTTCTGAAACTTCTTCTGAAGGCTTGTCTATACGTGCGCTTAATTGTTGATCGGCTTTCTCGCTCACATTCATTGCCTAGGCTCTGCACTTGTTACTTGGTTTGTACATTTGTCCCTTACTTTATTCACATTCCTTTTTTTTCGAGCCTATGTGCTGTTTTCTTATTTTATGGTGAGATTGTTCCACCTATGTTTTCATTTATTTGAACGTATGTCTGTCTGCTGAGCCATTTATGTCCAGGCATCTATCCACTATTTTGGTTTATTTACCCTGTTTATTTGTCGCTAAATTCCTAAATAGAAATGGTTATCATAAATTTCATCCTAATGTTTTCTATGAATGCAGATCAAAAATTTGAAATTCGTTGTGATATGGTAAAAAATACGTTTAAACTAACCTTAAATAATGAATCTAAAGGAATTTCATTAGTGATAAAAATCTGCATCAAATTTTGTGTACGATCACTTTACTGTCTTGCCAATACATTTATTAAATAAATGTGCAAGCTTAAGCTTAGCTTAGGGTGAACTTAATTTTTTCACTTTTCTTTTTCTAGCACATAACAGTTTTTTTTTTTTTTTTGACAAGAAATAAACATTTGTTGAAAAATCATTTAATCAGTTCATGAATCGAATACTCAAACACTAACATCCTTCAAGAAAAATATGAGAATGATTTGATGAATTTTTATTTACTTAGCACACAAATCAGAAATTCTTTAGCAGTGCGATTGTTAGGCGTAAGTACTTAACATAAAGTATGTAAAATTAATATAAAGGTACAAAACAGCTATAAATGATGTAAGCTAAATAATGTTAAAAAATGTTTACAAAAAAAAGAAGAAAATAGCAAAATTAAATAAAAAAATATTTCACTTACCGGTATTCTTTCGCATTACGAAAATATTGAGTGCTATTGTTATTGTTCTCGGCATTTTGTTTCGCGGCACTTAGACCCGTTGAAATGCGTTTCATTTGATCTTCAGTTAAATTAAACATTTTGCGCACTTGAGCCAAATTAGATGCGTCCACATATTCAGTATGTATAGGAGTATCGCCAAATGGTAAATTATGGCGTTTAGCACGTTTACCATTAACACTATTAAGCATAGCAAAGGCCATCAAATTCAAAATCATAAAACGATACATTTTTGACATTTTTCTTTGCGTTGATTACTTTTTATTAGTTTCGTTTTTCATTAAGTAAAAAATGTGAAAAATTTTTGCAATTATAATTTAAATAGAGAAATAAAAAAAAAAATATGTTTTTAAAAAAATAAAACAAAAATTCACAAAATTTTTATATATAAAAATAAAATTTCAAAACAGTTTCACTTCTGTTTTGGTTATTGTTTGTAATGATCTAAAGTATGTTTATTTTATTTTAAATAAATTTTTTTTTATTACTTTTTGCTTTTACATAAACGTAATTTTTTTAATAATGAATTTTCGTTTGAGGTGTTGTGTTGTCCACACTCTTAGAACTCTTGGTTCAAAATGAATTTGCGCGATTTACTTTAGAGACTTTAAATAAATTTTTTAACATACTAGCAAACAACAAAACAACATCGACATCACTTAACGTTAACAGAGTCAAATACAATGCTATCGAATGTTAATGTAACAGAGTACAGAACAAAGAAAGCAAAAAAGAAAAAAGAAAAAAAAAAGACAACACATACCCACAATAATAACAACAACTACTACTACTAATACTAGTTTTTATAATTGTGTTGTTTAGCTTGCGAACATTTTTGCGACTTTGCAACGGTGTGTGCGCTTGTACATGTTTAGTAGTAGTTTGTGAAGCCATTCGTGTTACCAAAACACGACGCTACTGTGTTTGTTACACACTGAAACGTTTATAATTTATGGCGATTGGTTGATTATTGTTTAGCTGTGTTCGTATACGCACATATCTATATGTAATTTATATTGTGTGAATACATAACCATTTCCATATAATTCGAAGGGGTTGCTTCTCTTCCATTTTGCATATGTGTGCATGTATGTATATATATATACAAAGTTGTTCATTGTGCTTGCATTTATGTATGTGTGTCCATATGGGCATGTGTGACTTTTGTGTATGTATGAACACTTTATAACTTTATTGCAAGTTAATATGTCACAGAAACGCATCGCTTACTCTCTAATGGACGCAATTTTTATACATGCGACAACTGTTAATAAACAAACACATTTTTAATTACTGAGAAGTGTAAACAAACATATACGCTTACGCACGGATGTACGACTATTTAAATCTTTTAAATGCAATTTTTAAGAAATCTCACGACTTAAACCAAGGATACGACGCCAAGAATACCTCAATACAACCTTTGAGGCGGACCTGCTAGCGGGCGACACCGTGGAAACAATCAACAGATATGCATCGTTTTGCCTTACGATGTGTATATATGAATCAGAAGAAATATCTATCTGTGTTCATATATTAAATAAGTTAATAATTTCATGCGTATACGTATGCATAAATAAATATATAACAATATATATATAAAAACAACTCACGAAATTTATAAAACAAATTTTTATATAAAAAATTTTTTTGTAAAACTATTAATATTCCTTAATAGTTTTATATAAACACGTCTTTCTTCGCGAGCTTTAAAATTGAATGTTACCGTTACTATTCATTTTGAAAGTTTAATGACACATGAAGAGATTAGAAAGTTGCTCAATACGTCGTTATCAAAATTATTATTTTCTAACAAATACCAAAATTATTAAAGCGATAGCTATTTAATGATAAAACTATTTACGATAATATTTTTTTTGCTTTGACAGTTCTCAACTGGGGGCATTTGTTGGAAGCGAACAAATAGGTTCATTTTAGTATTAAGTTGTAATCTTAAAAGCGCTCTACTTTCGTTTTGCTTTTTGAAAGGTTATATCTCGACATTGTTGTAGTGGAGAAAGTACCTATTACATCCCACCACTAAAGGACCGGAGAATATCAATTTTGTCAACGGGTTTGCATATCCAGAAAGATTCTTCAGGGAACGTCTAAAGAGTATATATTCTAGATCAGTATTAAATTCTGAATTACTTTAACCATGTCCATCTGTCTTTCTGTCAGCCTTTATGTGCATAATGCCTGCAGCAAACATTAGGTTGCTCCCGAAAACTAATATATCGGCTTCAAATCTCTTCTTCTCACGGCGACAACACCTTAAATTTGTGGACAACAGTTAGAGCGATAAAAGTTCTTACCCAATTTTCAAATGTAAGTCTAGAATACCTGTACAAAATAGGAAAAACATAGACTACGTCTGACCAGCGTACCGAAGTTCAATTTTTTGCGGGTCACACCCGAACATAATTTTTTTACGTTTTCAAAATTACGATATTTGAAAGATGATGGATCTTCTCATATTATCCCCCAATTTTCATTGAGCGTTTTTTGGTTATGTAATTTTATAACAAAAGCAATCGTCGTCTCTTTTCTTTGAACTTACGCCATGACGTTCCTTTTTAGTTTATAACATTTTACGAATGACTATTTTTTATTTAAAGGCAAATTAAGAAAAGTTCTTTACACGGTAGCACTCAATTTTCCCACTTTTGTCTGCTCCACTTTGAGATTGCGAAATTTTTCGCAGATGAAAAATCATCCAAATATTTTACCAAATTCAATTTCGCTTGAGGCCACTTTAAATGATCTAATCTCGTTTTATAATTGTCTTCATTATTCTAATAAAAGGAAAATAAGTCTTTCGGAAAAGAGATTCGCATTTACTTTACGCAACAGTTCCATTTTAGTGTGATCAAAATAAGCGTGTATTGCAGAGAGAGAGTGACTCCCATTTATCTTTATCCATTTGCGATATTTCTCAATCCGATTTTATTAATACGCAGAAGTCTTTGCGATTGACTATAATGTTAACAACGATTCTATTGAGCCTACTAAAAATTTATAGCGTATAGTCGCTTAGATGGTAGTTAGAGGTGCGAATTGTGGAATCTGTTTAGCTATAAGATTTTGTGCTAAAGAGTGAAAAGACGATTGTAGCGACAAATTTCGAGCTTAATATTAATTTTTTTATTTTTTACTTCAGTCGTCGAAATTCGAAAATTAAGTAAACCAATCCACACGTTCGCTTGCAATAAATAACATGGTCAAACAAGGTTGATCTTTGAATAACGTAGAGAATTTCACATTACTTTTCCCTTATGTGAGCTCATAAAACAAGTTGTGAATTTCATTTAGTGAATTTCATTTTCTTCTGTCAAGGTCTGCCAAAAACTACACTTTGGTGGCGTATAAAGGATTACTTTTCATAGGAATATTTATATGAGAAGGATTTATTTATTTATTTATTTTATTCTGGCTACAAAGTAAATCAAGCAACGCTATTGTTAAAAGGCTTAAGCTATTACATTATAGAAGTGAACAACTATCAGAAGCAATTAGAAGTGAATAGTTTTTTATCTCAATAGACGGCAATGGTGTTGGGCTGCCGCGTCACTTCTCAAGATGCCATTATAAAAACCCAATTTCAATAAATTATTTAAATCTGTATCACCCTACCGTTATTTATATAACGACTTTTCAAGATCAGACGTTATATGGAAAGTGGTCGGATCAGGACCATTTGCAAGAGCGTTCATCCTTGGACCATCGTAATATCTTAAAAATTGCGGTGCGTAAGTTGGGCACAAGAAAACCAAGCGGACAAGCAGACAGACAAATTTTTGATTCGATTGGCATTATAAAAGTTAGCTCTATGTAAAGTCGTTCTGTAAAACATGAAATTTCTTTGCTTGCAGTTCCTAAAAACAAAACCCGGTAAATGGAGAAAAACATATTTTAATCATTTTAATGTTTCTTTGTTGAATTTTTAGTTAATCATCAAAAGAGGACAAAAATGTTAGGAATTTTTTCTCTAAAACAGCAATTTAAAAAAAAAGGCTAAAATCAAGACGTTTCAAAAATGATTCATCAATATTTGTGTAGATGTTAAAACACATGCTCGAGCAAGTAGTGCAGTCTGTTTGGCCTATATATATACATATTCTAACGCTCTAATTAAGCGAATGCTATTGTTCAAGAAACAGATACAGAACAGAAAAATACGAGCGCCACAATCTATGTGGATGGATTTTAGAGTACGTTGCTAAAATAAGTAAATTTTGTTTGTCAAACGTATTCTTAATCCAACCAAAAAACAAGGTTTTTCAAAGTTCCCTTTCTCCCCTTTGGAAACACAATCTATATAATTCATTCATGGAGTCGAGCGATTTTATTATAAAAACCAGTAAAAAGACTATAGTGGGCCATTGTTCACCATTAAATTCTCTTCGCCACTGCATATAAGATCTTTTCAAAATAACACGCTACATGGGAAGTGTGTGAAAAAGTAGTCCGAACCATTTTCAATAGCGTTCTTCCTTGGGCTGAAACACATTAGTGTACAAAATTTAATCAATACATCTAAAAAAATACGATCTCTGTACAAGAAAAACGTCAGACAGTCAAGCATAAATTGATTCAGAGTCGCTCTCTAAGGGCTAATAAAAGGTGTGCCTATCTAAAGTCCTTCTAGGTGTTGCATACATCCACATTTTTGTACCGAAAGCGTTCGCGTAGAACGTGAAACTACTGCCTATTAGTTACTGATATTGTCAGCTGTATAAGCAGTTGCATTATCAACAATAATAATAAAATAGGCAGCAATAATAACTAAATTGCGTTCAATGATGTTTACAATACCAGCTAAATACACCCGCTACTAAATAATTGCAAACACGTACACATATACTTGCACTCTTGACAGTTTGCTGTCTTTTGTTTGCGTGTGAGTGCGTCTATGCTTGTGTCTATTTTCTTATAAATTATATTATAAAGCATTTCCTGATTAAATGCTGTTTTTCTCGCTGGGGTTTAAAAGATTCTTACAAAGGTACCCCACTTTGCATTGTTATTACTATCGTAATAAATTCATTCGTTTCATTATATTTTCTATATTATATGCACACTTCAAATCAAATCATCTGTATACGCATTTCTCTTATTTGTTTAATACCTTTAACTATCAACTAAATTGTGACGAACTCTTTAGCTAAGCATATGTTTCTTCGTCTTTTTCTTTTTCCTAGATACTATTACAAAATATTGCGTTAATTAATAGTTAGATCGTCATAAAATTGTGAATTGTAATGA